GAAACCACCATAACTTGAGGTGTATAAGTTCAGTTCTGATGATTAGGTTGGGATAATTATTCAACAATCTCAATTGTTATTTTGTATTATTTATATGATATTTTAAATTAATAACATATTAAATATTTGGCCTTTTTTTTTAAGGTCCTTGATATTATGATTTTATAGCATAAAAGATATCAAATATTTTTATGATGTCTAAGGTCCATCAACAATATTTTTATAATGTCTAAGGTCCCTCAACCTTGATCCAGAGAAATTTCAGTCCAGAGAAAATTGGTGCAGAGAAATTTCAGTCCAAATTTCTCTGGAAAATCTAATTATTCTCAGAAAATTTTCAGATCTGCTGCTACTTTTAGCATGCAAAATGCCCATGATTTTGTTTGGTATTGATTAGTACTCTTTCTCACTTGCAGTTTTTCCCCATTGTCTTAAGTTTATGTCTAGAGAAAATCTGTTGGTTTTATAGGAAATTAAAAAACTAAGGATAATGAAAGAAGCTAATTTTTGAGACTGCAGAATGTTACTGAGAACAATATCATCTTGTTCAAATGGTAAGCTAATTTCATCATGTTTAAGGTCTCTCAAGTTGTTCCAGAGAAAATTGGTCCAGAGAAAATTAGTCCAGAGAAAATTAGTCCAGAGAAAATTCACATCACAGAGAAATTTGGTTAGAAAATTAGTCCAGAGAAAATTAGTCCAGAGAAAATTAGTCCAGAGAAAATTAGTCCAGAGAAAATTAGTCCAGAGAAAATTAGTCCAGAGAAAATTAGTCCAGAGAAAATTAGTCCAGAGAAAATTAGTCCAGAGAAAATTAGTCCAGAGAAAATTCACATCACAGAGAAATTTGGTTCAGAGAAATTCTGACTTTCCAGAGAAATTTTACAAATTTCTCTGATTTGAGAAAGGAAGGGAACATTAGAAAATTGATCCAGATAAAATTTCAAATGCATGCACTTACATCCGTTGTGGTTCAAGGTAAAGCACAGAGATCAGCAACAACCCTTCCCAATATCAGCAACAACCCACCTTCTCTCTCTCTCAAGTCTCGGAATGTGTTTTAAACAAATTTTTCTGACTTCTGAATTTATCTCCAGAGAAATTCTGAATTTCTCTGGAACTGATATTGATGTTTGCAGATTCATCCACCAAATTTCTCTGGACATAAATTGATGACCAACCTCGTGGAAGCAGGTGTAGGTTGCAGAAAATGCAATCTAAAATGCAGATTGGCATCTTAACCGAACCCAAACAAAAACCATGATCCCCAAATGCATTGTTTGCTTACCAAGAAAATGCATCAACAAAACAGAAGAAAATAATAGGCATGATGAATCTCCAATTTCAGTAATAAAACCCAAAGAAACAGAGACATTTCACCTTCACTAATCCTAATCACTTTTTTTTTTTTTTTGGTTGAAGTAAACATAAACACATAACAAAAATTATACTTTATTTTCTTACATCACATGTTTCTCAGGAAACAAACAGTGGTACATTACCAATTTTCCAATCACTTTGCCTTAAACATAAACACATAAAAAAAATCTTGTTTGTATTTTTTATGTGCCCGGCACCTGGATTATATCCCAACCCAGTCAGGATTGAGATGGTTTAAACAATGGGCAAGGACAATTAGCAAAAATGAACAGTTGGATTTTGTAGTGCACGTTGCCACTTTAAAAAATTAAAAATTAAAAATGATCTGGTTTTAAAATCTCAAAATCCATAAAAAATCTCCATATATGTATTACAAAAAAAAAAAAAAACTTGTATTGCCATATATCAGTGAAGCTAGAAAGAATGTCCACAGCAGGCTTTTCTTCATTCCTGAAGAGACTTTGGTCTACATAACACAAATCCAATCACCACTCGGGCTCTTGGACTAACTACAAGAAGTATTCAACTGTGATCACCATCACTTTTACCATAGCCTGTAATCAAAAAACACCTCCTTCGAAACCCTTTAGCCCTCTTTTAAACCATGTAATTGTCTTTGAAGAACCTCGTTCCCTTTTCTCAGTTTCATGATTTTCTGCTTCAGTGTTTCAACTTGTCGATTTGAAGTCAAATCACGTTGGTGATCGGATAACTTTGTTCTGATAATTAGCACTGCAATATAACAAGAGAAAAGAAAAACAACTATAAAACAAATACGAAGTTCATCTAAAACAGTTGCACATTATTTCTATTATATAAAATGTATATGAACTCACATTCTTTGAAATATGAACTCACTAGTCTGGCCCTGAATTTACCCGGAAAACTAAGCATTCTGGGCAATGGCTGGAGGAAGTTGAGGAAGCAGCTTATGATGCGGCTGATCTATTGGATTTGATGATAGCAAACAATAATTTTTGCAAAACCTTGTTATCCGGAAGCTTAATTCTATCACCTGTGTCTAATTTGTTGGGTATAGGGGGTGAGGGACCTTAGACTACAAAAGAATATATTGTGGACCTAATCCATTACTAAAAGGTGGATAGGGACCTTAGACCGATTTTCCCTAAATATTTTAGGAGCGAAACATATTAACGTATCTTTATTAAAAAACTTTTTTAAAAAATGTATTATCGTTTTTTATTTATTAAAATATAACAAAAATTATATCATATTTTAAAAGTTTGTTTTCCTTTCACTTGTCTCTCAATCACATTGATGGGTTGTTTAGGATGATTTAAATAAGTGTATTTTTTGTCTTTTTACGAAAAGATATGTAAAAAAGTAAAGAAATGATGTGATAAAAAAAAGATAAAAAAATAAATTATATAGGGGGACGTCAAACCACCCGTGAATCACTTGAACTCTTACAAAAACCAAATCGTCATAATGTATTTTTTGCTAGCTAACAAGTATATTTCTTTTGGGAAAATGCATGAGACCCCCAGTGGGGGTACTGGGGGTCTCTCCTGATTGGTCCAAAATAAATTTTTTTTTTTTTTTTTTTTTTTTTGATTTTCCTTCCATTGCCAGCCCCCCACGTGGAGGTGGGGTGCTGGGGGTCCTTCCCTGCTGGGGGTCTCCAGCAGGGCTCTTTCTTTTGTCACCTTTATCTCTGTATCACCTTTAGATGTGAAGACCAACACACTTGAGACAAATTTTTTTCATCTTATTTCTCTCTTTTATCAACTCGAACATGCCGATCAAATCCCATATTTTGATGCGATTACTTATCTCACATGGCTTAAATAAAATATTTGATCTTAACTTATATGATTTATAAACTCTTTTAATATATATATTTTCTCCATACAAGACTTGGAGAAAATATATGAGTGAACCTTCTCTCGAGAGATTGGGAAAGCTGCTCCACTAGAAATATTTTTATTATTACATTGACTCATATTTTCCAAAAATGAATCCTGTATTGATAGTTCTGAATAAATTAAATATGTGCATTAAGATACAAAGGCTGCTTATTTCATAATTGGACAAATTATTTACACTTTTTTTTTTAGATTTAGTTAAATTATAGATTTCTTCTTTAGGTTTTAGAGATTACATCTCGCCTCCCGAAATTTATATTTGCATAACAATTTAACTCCTATCGTTAGCTAAACGTTAAGAATGGTTAGATGATATCACCAAAATATAAATTGATGGACAATATTACCCTGCTGAAATCCCTTTGATAAATTAACAAAATAAACAATTACGTTAGATGGAAAAAAAAAATTAAGTTTTTGAAATCATGTTTGATTTGTTGTCTAGAAAAAAAAAATTCAGAATTTAAAAAAAAATAAAAACTAATTTAATAAAAATAAATATGAAAAAATATATTTAATTTGTAAAAATTATTTCTAACTATTCAAAAGATAAAATTATATAATACTAATAATAATTTTTATTTTTTATTTCTTAACCAAATTAATTTTTAATTTTTTTAAAAATAAATTTCTAAAAATCAAACCAAACATATTATAAAAAAAATTTGACGTGTTTTTAACTTATTTAATTATTTATTAATTTTATGATATTTTCACAATCTGACACTACAACATATAAGAGTTTTAGTAATCAATTTTTTTGATTTCTAAAAATGAAAATTTTGTTGCAAAAGGTATTTATGGACTAATTTCTATTGTCATGATAATAGTTGCTAAAATGTCATCCTGAAAGGTAAAAAATAAGACTTTTAGCAATAAAATTTCAAAAATGTCAATAATAAATAAATTTTTATGGACAAAATAATTTGGTCTCATAATGGATTATTTTTTGAGACAAAAAGTTTGATATCAAAAAGATAATAATTAATCACTAATGTTCAATTTTCATTACTAAAAATATAATAACGACACATTTTGCAACACAAATATTTGGTCCATTAAAAATAATTTTGTCCCTAAATTTTGGTCTAAACCTTAATTTTTTGTAGTGTGATAAGTATTTTTCCATTTTAATTTTGCACTTCATAACTTATTTAAAAATGATAATTTAGTTAAATTTCAACGGAAGTTTTCCTTTATTTGTCAAAATGACGTTTTAGTTAATTTATAATTTTTGTTAAAAGCGTTAATTGCGATGAGGCGGGATATAATTTTTAAAACTTCAGAAAGGAATCTATAATTTCGTTAAACTTCAATGGAGGTGTAATTTTTAAAACTTCAGAAAGGAATCTATAATTTCGTTAAACTTCAATGGAGGTGTAAGAAATTTGCCCTCCACAACGCAATCACTTTTTCACTTGTTCATATATTAGGAAATTTCACTTGGAAAAGAAAATGTTCCATACCGATGGATTTAGTTCCATAACCATTGGTTCCAATGTACAAGATCTTGTATCACTTACCAATGATGCCCTATTGATTAATATTACACAGAAGAAATTACTTATAAATATTAATACAATTTTTTTTTTGGTACATCCAAAATTAATATTAATACAATTAAATCCACTCTTCATAGACAATTTTGAAATTTTTAATCCAATCCATATAAGATTTCGTCTTGACTTTTAAACGCTGGTGGCCGGTCAAACTACTCTACAAATTACTAATTAATTTTGGAACTGAATGCTAACTTTATGTTTGAACAACTCACAAAAGCATTTCCTCTTTCTCAAGTCACAATTTTCAATTCTCACGACACTTCTACTACTACTACTACTTGTTACATTTGGGTTAATGTTGATGATGATAATTCTAAAACCCTAAATCATACAAATCAGCCCACACAAAATCACTCATACAATTATACAAAAACAAACCTCACCCACAATCAAATCAAATCAAATACATGAAATGAAAACAATCAAAAACACTAAAAATGGTTAAGCAATTGTTGGGCTACTATCAAAAACACGTCGCCTTTTAGATCGGTCTTTGAGATCAGAAGAACTCGAAGATCGATGAACAAAAGATTTCAATGCATCTCTCAAAAACTGTACCAATTCATCACTGCTTTGATCTTCGTTTCCTGCAACAACCAAAACGTTTCGAGTTCTTCCTCCGAGTGTTGCCATTTCAGCTCTCAGAGGATTTAATCGGAGTGATCTCAGAGTTTCGATGAGATCAGGAATGAGATCGGACCTGTCTTCGCAGCACAGAGAAGCTTTGATCAACAATCTTCCTCCGTCGTTGATTGATTTGTTGGAGTTCGAGTACTGTACTGAGATTTCATCGGTCTCGGAAGGGAAGGTCTCGAGATTGAGCTCTGAGGTTTGTTGTTTCAGTTCCTTCACGCGTTGAATCACTTTTGCAAGCAGCGAAGCTTTGTCTGTCTATGGAAAATTCAACATTTTTGCAGAATTAGATAAAGTAATTGAAAACCTAATTTGAGAGAAAGTTGAATGACTTTCCCAAACGCCTTAAAACCCTAGAAACCTCATAAAAAGGGTTTTGATGATTGTTCTATCTTCTTTCTTTTTCAGATCATCAGAGCAATGGGAATATTTCATTCAAAAGCTTCAAAAACAGCTTTGGATCTAAGAATTCAGAATCGGAAAAGTTCACAGATTACATTCTTGACCATTTTCCTCTCAAACTACAACTTTATAAAATTTATTTTGACTATGCATCTCTTTCTCTCTCTCTCTCTCATATATATCAGTGAAAAGAAATCTTAATAAACAGAAAAATACATCAAGAACGAGGAAGAGCAAAAAAATTGCATCATAGCACTCATCAATATTACAAACATATACAAAAAGAGAGCTTGTAATCAAAACTGAGCTAAAAAAGAAATATAAAAGAGAAAGTGAGAGAGAGGCCTCTTTTTTTTTTTCTTTTTTTCTTTTTTTGGGTTTTTGCTTGGAAGAGAGAGAGATAGGTCTTTTCTAGCTAAGCTTCATAATACAAATAAAACTATAAATATAGAGAAAGAGAGAGAATACTTGAAATTGCAGAGAGAGAGAGAGAGGCCTTTTTTATAGTTGAAATTCACAGTTTTAGCTGTAACCCTAATAAGAATATATATATATATATATAGAGAGAGAGAGAGAGAGAGAGAGAGAGGAGAGGGGTACCTTGGAATTGCAGGGAAGGAGAGTTCGGAGTTTGTCGAGATGGGAATTGATCTTCTGACGACGGCGTTTCTCAGCTTCTTTGTGATTCTTGGAAGCAACCAGAGCTCGTTCCTCTGCAGTAGTAGTAGTAGTAGTACTCGTTTCTGTAATTCCTGACACCACCTCCCAGCTAGGGCCGTAAAACGACGCACCACCACCATTATAACCACTTTGGCAATGTTGGGTCGTCATCCTCGTCGTCGTCGGAAAATCATAACAATTCGCCGGAATCCCGTACATACCGTTGATACCACCAACGTCCACCACTCCGTTTCCGGCCAAATACCGGTACAAGTCTGCGCTTTCCGGCCAGTTTTCGGGCTGCATATTTGTGTCGCTGGTTTCTTGGCTTTATGTGTTTGGTTGTTCTTTCGGATATATATGGTTGATTTTGGTAGCACTTCCTTATGTATAAAGATTTAAGAGTTTTTTTTGTCCATAGAAAATTATATAGATGGTGATTGGGAAGTGAGTTTTTATGTAGGTTTTTTTAGTTGTAGGTTTTTATTGGATAAAAAATTTTGGTGTTTGGGAAGATAGTTGGATTTTTATGTGGTTGGATGTGATGTTTGTGAGAGAAAAAGTGAAATGATTATAGGGTTGGATGTGATATTTTGTTTGAATGTGATTTTTTTGGTTTTGTAAAAAGTTTGTCTTTTAGTGAAAAAAATGAGAAAAAAATTTGGAACCTAAGTTCCCAAACACCACCATAATAGTTTCGAAGAAATACGTCTTCATATTTTTTTATCAATTATTATTTTTTATATATTTTATAACATTCAATCACTCAACATATATAATTACAGTAATGATTGAGAGTCACAATTTTTGTGACTCAAATGACTCGAAATTGTTAAAACGACGTCGTTTTAAGTACAAAATAACTTTAAAATTGTCAAAACGATATCATTTTGACAATTTTAAACTGTTTGAACCACAAAAATTATGACCCTCAAACATTTTCCATATAATTAATACTTTAACCCTTTTTACTAGTCATACTATCACTAAGTATTGTTTTCGACCTACCGAATATTCACCCTTTACCGACTTATTGGATGACCATTAGAATGTTCAAATTTCCCGATATCGTCACCTTTTGTGATGGACCATGAGGACTGTCTATAGTCACCTTGACGTCAATTTTATACTAATATTTAGGTTTCATTTGGGATAAATTTTTTTAATTATTTTAACTTGACTAAAAAATTTTGTTTGAGATAAATTTTTAATTTTTAATTTTTTTAGTTAATTTGATAGTTGTAAGAGAAAAAAAATGAAATGATTATGATTTAAATGTGATATTTTATCTTATTAACTAAATTAACCTATTTTTTTGCTAATAATTTTTTTTTTTTGTCTTTATTGACTAATTTAGTCAATTTAGCCTATGCCCAACGAAGCATTAGAACTGCAAAAATATGATATGAATACAAAATAATTGTAATATCATAGAAGTATAAGTAATCTATATATGCATTAGATTGTTTAACCAAATATTATATTTCTATCTCTTTGTAATTATTTTGAGTTTATACCATTTTTTTTACAATTATCCCTATTTATTTTTTGGAAAAAAAATAAATTATAATATAATTACATAAATTTGGATTTCATTAACATTTTTCAGATTGATCAATTTTATAAGTAAAAGAATATTCTTAACAAATCATGTAAGATCCAGTGATATTTATTTTAGGGGTATAGGTGCCAGTGATGGCAAGAAAAAAAAATATAAATTTATGAAAAAATTTATAATTTTAATTAATAATATTTATAAAATTTTTCATTGATTCATAATAATTTTTTATAAAATCTACTGATGTGATATTTCCCTTTTATTTTATCATATTGTTTTTTTAGTAAAAGAAAACTTCATTTAATAAAATTAATAAATCCAACACCGACAGTTGATTTAAACTCATAACTTTGTAGATTTCTTAATATTTGAAAACTCTTAAGCTGTCGTTTGGCTAGGGCTATTTTAGTTGGTTTTTATGAGTTGAGACTATTTTAGATTAGATTAAAAAATTTGTTTGGATTGTTTTTTTTTTTGACTTTTTAACTTTTGTAAGAAAAAAAGTGAAATAATTATGGATTCGATATGATATTTTATCTTATTAACTTATTTAGTCTATTTTGTCTTTTGTACTTTTTTAATCCCTACTTTTTTTGCCAAATGAAAATCACGTTATTCTAAAAAAACTTTTATATGAAACAAATTAAATTCCTATGTTTAAAATATAAATATAGTATTTTTTTTTCATGAGAAAATTAGGAAAAAAATCCACTCTAGCAATTGTCTAAGGCATTAAGTTCAGTGAATTTTTCTTTTTGTTGGCGAGAGGTTCACACTTTGTGAAATAGTTTAGTGAAAACTCTTGGAGGACATTTTGTTTCAATTTTACCCCTTGCCTTTTTTTTACCTGTTTAACTTTTCGTTGATTATCTGTTCAAATTTATATCTATTTGTTCAAATTTTTTTGTTTATTTGTTCAATTTTTTTGTTTATCTGTTCAAATTTTTTCTATGTCAATTTTCTATCTGTTCAAATGTTTCTGTGTAAATTTTCTATTTGTCCAAATTTTATCTATGGAAATTTTGTTTATCAAAATTTTATTTGTGTAATCTTTATGCAATTTTGTTTTCTATCTGTTGAAATACCAAGCCAAATCAAATATTATTTGTTTAGATCTTTCTTTTCTTTGTCTTTCTATCCCTATCTATTGCATTGTGTTTCATCACCATCATCATCAAGGTACAAGTGTTGTTCATAAGCAATCGATTACAGAATCACGATCCTCTGCAGTTCCTCTCCTTAATAGCTCAATAAATTTCTTTGCAAACAATTCATCAAAAACGCAACAATTTCAGTTTAATTAACAAATCAAATCTTACAAAATATCAAGAACATAAAATTAGAAATCAATTTAACTGAGCCTTAATCCATTGTTTAAGCTTCCAAGTTACGTATTCTAAGATAAACGTCAAAAAAGGCACAAGTCAAGGGATTTCGTTTTCCTCTCCATTCTTTCTTACCAAACAAAATGAGGAATTAGAGTTACCTACTTCTGTAATCGAAAGAGGATTCGGTGATCGTCAAGGATGAACGATGCGTAGACTCACAAAAGATCTATGGTGACGTCAATGTCACTGACCTCTAATGACTGTCTGATTTGGCGAATAAGCAATCGCGAATGGTAAGAGAAAGATAAAGGTGAAGAAGATGGAGACGACGATGATGGTAATGATGAAGAAACTGCAGACTCTTTGATTAAGTTCTCAGGTTTGGCAAAGTCAATGACTAAAGCGTTGCAAGCTTCCCAATTCATATTCATCGATTCCATATTTTCTCGAGAAAGTCTTTTGTTTCTTTCTTTTTGATTGTTTGCGAATTTGGAAGATAATTGGAAAAAGAAAACAAAATGAAGAAGATTCCAGTGCGAGAGAGAGAGATTCTAGTGTGGCTAACTGTTCTATAGTGAGAACGATACTCCGACTGCCACGATATAGATTTGAAAATTTACAACTTTTGGTTGCAGATTTTAGAGGTGGAGTGGTGGAGACGGTGGTAAAGCAAAGGTAAGAGAGGGGTAAGAGAGGGATAAGAGAAGAGCTGGCGGAGAGAGAGAGAGAGAGAGAGAGAGAGAGAGTGAGAGAAAAAACGATTCCAATTTGGAGGGAAAGAGATGTGGTCAAGATATATATATATATATATATATATATATCGGAGATGACAGTGATGGGGTAGTCAAGGACGAGACGGCGGTGACGAAGAACTCGAGGGCTCAGAGTCATCATCGTGGAGCCCGATGGCAGATGAAGAGACGTCAACAGTGATGGCGAATGGTTGTGGTAAAATCGGAGATGGAGAGAGAAGAGAGAGAGAGGCTTGTTTTGTTTTGTCTACCGTATAATATATATATTAATTATTATATATATATATGTGGGTAGTTTAGTCTTTTTGTATGAACTTGTCCTTATGGACAAAAAAAAAATAAGCGCCTAGACCTTTAGACTTGGAAAATTCAATTTCGGACTTTTGACCCGATTGTCCTTTTTTCATAATAGAAAAGATTAAAGGGGGAAAAAAAAAAAACAATGAGTACTACACATATTTCTACTGCTGACTCTAATGTAATTTCATATTGGGTTAGTGTCACGACCCAAACCCGCCCCTATGGGTTTAGCACCGTAACCGGCCAGTAATCTGAGATTACCGAAGGCCTGCTTAACAGTAATACAGTAATACAGAGTACAGGGGCTGACGGAAGCCAATACAGTAATTAAAATATGTCCAATGAGCTGTGACAGTCTGTATGCAAAAAGACTTTTCATATACACATGTACAATCAGTACCAAAACAGTATGTACAATATATGTAATCATTCAGGACAGGGTCTTAATTAGAACAGTACAGTGCAACATCATTCACTCTATACAGTAATTACATAACAGATACCAAAAAGATGAAAACTAAAACACCCCAAAAGCCTTGGCTTGACAGGCTCGGAACCTCGCAGTGAGGCATAATGGTTGGCTTCGACAAAAGGGAGTCTAACCCACGCTCCTAGTTCTGGTTTGGTGTCTGAGTACCTACATATATATATAAACAGTGAGCTAAAGCCCAGTGAATAACATAATGTGTAAAGAGGTTAAGAATGAATGTCCTAACAGTAACGAAAACAGTTCATTGAATTAGTATAACAGTCGTTCAATCATAACAGTCATATGTGGTACATCCATTAGCAGAACAATACAGTAAATAGTAGGTCTTAAAAGACCGAACAGCCAATGATGGCCATCGTAACAGTAAACAGAAGTTCCAAGATAGGAACTGACAGAGATCTCTGTAACAGTAGCAGTAACAGTAACAGTAGTTGCTAAGGATGCCACAATACAGTTCAGAATAGAGGACAAACATTCATTCAGTTAATCAGTAAACAGTTCAGAAAACAGTTCAGTTAATCATTCAGAAAATATTCATTTTCGAACATATCTTTACAATATTGTTACTCACAGAGTTCTGGGCTACAGATAAGCTAGTACGCGTCCTCGGATGCCAACCCTACACAGTTACAGAATGAACACACACTAAGCTACACAGTTGGGAAACAATAATGTAATCCCTAACTCGACTCGGTGTGGTCCTACATCAATATCCTCATTAAGATGTCTTAAACTAGGCCTAGGAATGCCTAGGATGGAATGAGGATGCAAAGATGCACTTTAAAAATATTTTCAGAATTTTCAGAAAACAGAGGTCCTGCTCGAGCGTGGGTTTCCCCGCTCGAGCGTACAGGCAAACAAAATACTCCGCTCGAGCGCGATTTACCCCGCTCGAGCGGACTGTAAAACATGCCAAAAGTACTGGATGTGTGAAAATCACGCTCGATTGGGCGCTCGATA